ATAAATTATTGAGAGAGAGTAACCATATGGCAAAATGGGCGTGTACGTCTCCCTGATGGAGATTTAAAGAATATCACTTACTTGACTTGATGGGTAAGGAAAAAAGAGAAAATCCATGTGTTAAGGTCGGATATCTATGGGTAGGTTATCCATTGTCATCCCTAGTCAAAACTAGCAAACTCTTTTCTAATATACTAATGTTATCTTTGTAAAAAAAAAAAAAAAAATCCTAAATACAAAAATTTTATGGCCTTATTTGGTGCAATTTATTGTAAGTTAAAAATTGATAATAAAATAGTATAAACTAAAATCACTTCTTTCTCAATTTCATGATTATAAGTTTTTTCTAACTTAGTATTGCTATTCATGTTCAAAAATTAAACCCATATTGGTATTCATGTCCAAAAATTAAACTTTCTAGATCTTATGATGTGATACTCTATTAAAATATTTAAATCAACTCTATTTTATTTATTTTCTAATTATCAACTAATCATCTTACTAACATATTATTAAAAATGAATTTACAAAATATGCTTGTATATCAATTTTTTTTTTTTTTTTTTAAGTTATTGAACTTGCACCAAACAATTAAATTTCCACATTAAAATAAATTATAAACAAGCCTTATAGTTGTTAACAAATCGCCACTATTGAGCAGCACCAAATAAATTTTTAACATATGCACATGTTGGGCAAGTATTTGGCGTCCGGATCCTCTAGAGAAACTCTCTAGAGTGATCTCCTAAAGTGGATGATCGGACGGTTCAAAATAGTCCTCGTCATTTTGGTGAGGATTTTCAAAAAAAAAAAAAACATTTTTTCCCGATTTCAAAACAACGAACGAGGGTTCCTGTGGAAATGCAAATCTGAAATTAGAGAGAGAGAGAGAGAGAGAGAGAGAGAGAGAGAGAGAGAGAGAGAAGGGCCCGACTCGCCACCGTCGCCGCTGCCACTCGCCACCGTCGCCGCTGCCGCTGCCACACCGCTGGGTCACCATACTCCAACAGATTGAAAGAAAAAACCACAGGTTCGTTCATCCTCTAAACTTCAAATATTAGGGCTTTGATTCAAAAAATTAGGAAAAAAATCAAAAAATATGATCTTACGGTTTTGATTTGAGACTTTTTACATGATTTATTTTAGATCTATGCTTAGAGGAATCGAACTATAGATGATTGGAATCATCAAAGAAATTTATGAATATATTTATATATATATATATATATGCATCTGTGTGTAATGGGCCTGAAATGGGCATTTAATCTGTGTGTAATTTAAATTAATGACACAGAGCTGTAGCATTTAAATTCCAAACATGGGCATCTGTGTGTGATTTAAAATGACCCTCTATTTGTATAATTTAATCTGTGTGTAATTTAAATATAGTATTTCTCTGGTTGATCATAAAATAGGCATTCTCAGTTTGGAAAACAGAGGAATGTAAGAGAATGATATATGTAATTAAGTTTGTTTTCTTTGGCATTGATGAATGTCTATGCATAAATGCTCAGTATACTTTGTTCCATACTATTCCTGTAGATAATAGTATGTAACAGAATGATATAGTTTCTTCCATACTCAGAATGATATATGAAATACACATCTTGCCCTTTAGATAACTTTAGAAAAAGAAATGTTGTCAAAGATTCATAACTTTAGATAAAGAAATGTTAGAGCAAACAATAGGAAAACATATGCACTATTTAACTTGTAAGTAGTGTCGAAAGTGACAACATCACCAAATTGCCCATAATCCATGATCATCTGAGCATCGGCCCAAAATATGTTCGTAATCTGCTCCTCGTTATCTAATTGGACCGAGTAAAAAAAAGATGAATTCTCCAATGATTTGTCACGAAAATATTGCAAAATGCTACCTGCCTCCCCATATGCTAAACTGTTTTGCCTCTTCGTTCTCAAATAATTTTTTTGGTCAAGTTTTGTAAACCCAAGCGACTCCCTTCCACCAACTTCATTACCCATGAGCTCAAATGCAGCATTAAGACGAATTCCAGATTTTTCGGCTAAATCTATTTCGGTTGCCTGTGATGCAGATATCTTCCTTTGGGATAGTAACATATGCGTACATTCTGCTGGTACGAAGATATGATTATGTTGTTCAACAAAATCACTAACAAAAAATTTCTGAATATTCCTATCCCACTTAATGACAAGTCAGGCTTGACAACCAGTCCTCACTTCCTGCCTAGGATTTTTTGTTAATGGATCTCACTTGTCGACAACCGAAATCCTTCCTTATAAAACAAATTGCCTTGAAGTGATTTGCCCTCTTTGCTCTGTTTACATAACCCTTCTAATACTAAAGCCCAACCTTCCTCCATAAGTATTATAGAAATCATATGCTTCTTGTTCTGTATCAAATGTCATGCGAATCTAGGCTTCCAATCACACTCACCCCCCGTCATTCTCATGATTGTTAGGTTCCATATCAATGTGCCAAGTCACTCAAAAATAAAGAAGTGCTCATATTAGCATAAAAACTGTATACAAACCGAATAAGATAATTAACGAATAACAAACGTACCACCTGAATATATATAAACAAACAAGGAACAATTCTACTAATTAATAATTTTTACACTCTTATGATCAATAATTACTAGACCATATCAGGCCAAATAAGAAATGAAGCAGATAAATTCACTAGTAAGTGTAGACACCCATTTTTGACCGTCCTCAAGACTTGGACGTCACTGTTTGAACACACGGTGATCTTCCATGTTTGTGTTTGTTTGGAGTTCCCGGAGGTCTCGGCTCGCGCGCCTTGCCTCAGGATCCCGAACTCGACCGTTTAGTGTCTGGTTTTGCACCAAACACTTGCATCTTGCCTTTGAGAGCCAGGGTGGGGCTTGTAGACCATCCCCACCCACCACCGGCAGTGGCTAGATGCCACCGGCTGGTTTTTGCTGCCACCGGCAATATAGTTTGCCGGCCGGCACTCTTTGTTGCCGGTCAGCACTATTTGTTGCCGACCGGCACTCTTTTGGCCAAGATGGAATTTTTTGCCGGCCGATTGCTGTTCATCTGCTTTTGCAGATATTTTTAGACAGCTGTATTGCTTTTGCTCCCCTCCATACACGTGTATGGAGGGATCTCCCTCTTGCAAAGCTTGTCTTGTAAGCTTTACAAGAGGCTTATAGAGAGGAGCCCTCTCTAAGGCAAAAGAGAGAGCTCTTAGACATTTTTGAGGAGAAAATACAGAGAGAGCTCTGGTTTTTCTAGGGTTAGGGTTAGATATACACTTTCTATCTCTATCTCCCTCTCATTATTCACTAGGTGTTTTGTTGCCTTACTATGCACACAAACACCTAGTGTTTCACCTTCCTCTTGGAGCTGAGGTTCTAAAGAGTGTGTGTTTGAAGCTTGGTGTTGGATTCAAGCTCAAGGAGGCCATTGGAGCACCATTGTTGAAGAGGACTACAAGGGTGAGAAACTAGTCCCATTTTCCCCCATTTTTGCATCGATTTTCTACTAGTCTTAGAGCTGTTTTTTGTGATTATGTTTAACATAAAAAAGGTTCTATTTTAAGCCCTCTTTGTTGTTTATTAAGAGTGTTTTGTTTTTTGAGGGTTGTTGACACCCTTAGGCCTCAAAAGGCCTCATTTTGAGCCATTTTGTGCTAGCTCCGGGATTTTGGTGTTGAGGTCTCTTCACCACTGAAATTCTTGAGGGATTTCAGTGGTGAAGATGATACTTTGAAGTCCCAAGAAGGAGAGGCCACCCCTCTCCTCTGTTGTCCTTGAAAAGGGCATATTTTGCCTCCTAAGGAAGCCTATGCTTGAGTGTTGTGTTGAGCAGTTTGGTTTGTTTTTCATGCTTATATATCCATGATATAACATGATAAGTTGGTTTTGGAACTCCATGCATGTTTAGCATAGTGCCATGTAATGCCTTATTTATGCCTTAATGTGCTTAGGTTGTTAGCCTTTGTTGGAGCATGTTTTAGGCTTAGTCTTGTGAAGAATTATGTGCTTATTTTGTCATGTTTTAGCTCTATCCATAGTCGTTTGGGTTGATCTTTGCATGCATTAAATAGCTCCTTTGTATTTGGGCTTGTTGGCCTGAGTATGTGCATGTGTAGCATGCCATCTTTGCATTGTTTTGGTGATTTGGGATCATTCTACATGCCATTTCAGTCCCATTTCCATGCTTGGTTGATTGCCTTGCATGCCTCTTTAATGCCTTGGAAGCATGTGTTGCAATGGCTCCATGTTTGGCCATGGTGCATGCCTTTGTATTTGGGCCATTTAGATGCCATCTAAAGAGTCCTTTAGCCTGTTTAACATGCTAAAACTCTGATTTGGTCCCTCTTTGCAATTGCCTTGTTTTTGGTCTTGTTAAGTGTAGTTCAAGCCTCATTGATTTGCTTTGAACACTTAGGCCATTTGGTGGCATGCTTGGCTTGATTTGTTGCTTGGTTTGGCACCATGTATTAGCATGATTTTAGAGCTTATAATGCATGCTAATTGCTCTTGTTTATCCCTTTCAAGTGTGCTTGAATGTTGCTTGATTTGTGCCCAAGTGTAGGCTTCCATCATGTGTATGTATGTGCATGTGTTTTGGCTTCTTGTTTTGCTATTATGGCCACTGTTTTTAGGCTTATTAGAGCTGCCTAATTCATGTATAAGTCCATCTTGCCATCCGTTTGCATTGCCATGTGTATGCTTGCATGATTGCATAAGTGTTTTGCCATGCCATGTTGCATCCTTAGCTTGCATGCTTAGGTTGCATTGCATCTTGCATGCATGCCTTGTTCCTTGAAATGGTGATAAGAATTAGGCCAAATTTTTTTGATTGGTTTGCATGCATTTGAATCAAAGTTACATTACTTGGTTCCTTGGGCCATCATGCATGGAAATGCGTGATTGGTTGGTCCGAGAACCGAGGCACATGTCCCTTTGATGTCATTACAATGATAAGAGACATGCTTGGTGCATACATGCCTTGAATTGTGCTGCCATGCCTTGTTTTGCCCTCTGTTGCTGGAGTTGCAGGTTCTGCAGGAATACTCTGCCGACCGGCAGTGTAATGTGCCGACGGCACCATTTTCCTCTGCCGACAGACCCTATTTTGTGCCGATGGACATACTACATGCCGGTGGAAGTTTCATTCAGCCGTGATGATCCTCTCTGTCCAAGGATGCAGTCCTGAGGCTTTGACAGCCTCCAGAGGAGGAAAGGAAGGAAAACAGAGGCAGCTTGCGCATGGTGGCGCGTTCCCGAGGCGTTTTCCCGCTTTATTTTAATTTATTCAATTTGTTAATTAAATTAGTTAATTTGTAATATTAATTAGCTGTGTAGTTAATTATTTTAATATTTATTCGGTCCTCGAGCGAGGGCAAATCTGTAATAAGGTGTTGTGGGTGGTGTGTATGTCTTCCAACCCCAACGTCTTTCTTCCCTTTTACTTACCTGCTTTAATGGTTAGTATTAGGACACGTTTAATTTAGCATACCTTATGCTATGCATGTGTGCATCCATGCATTTGTATTGCATGCATTTGAGGCTCGGTACATCATGCTAATTGCATCAACGCTTCAATTCCAA